AAGAATGGTACAAGGAACAAAAGACATCTGTCAAAGACAACTGTTTAGAAACTGATTATAAATCTGAATCTCCTGAAAATGAACGAAAATTGATGCCAAATGAAACACCAAAAAGTGATGAAGTACTGGATTCACATATTTTTAAAGGCATAATTACTGATCAGAAAAATTCAAAAGAATTAAATGTGAATCAACAGGATCATCAAAGTAGTTCAAAAGTTCAAAAAGAGTGCACAGACCAGTTAAGAATGTCGGAAATGATTACAAACAAATCCAGGAAAAAATTAGTCCAAGAAGAACCAGATATTGCTGATGAAATTGATGAACTTTTAAAGGAATTTGATGAACCAATATTTGTTTCCAAAAAAGATCTAAGAAAAAAAGATGTCCATGAATCTAATGTTGCTATTCAGGAACAAGATAAATTTGCAGTTCAGACTGAATTAGATCATACAACCCAAATTGAAAATCCAAAAGCAAATAATGGAGAATCAGAGAAAGATCAAAGCCTTGAAGAGCAATCAAATATAGACCAGGAAAATGAAAACTATGATTATGAAGATTCATTTGAATCTGAATCAGATTATTCTGGGAAGCTTTCTCAACATGAAAAGACAAACACTGATGGGTCAGTAAGTGAACACACAGATGAATCATGTGGTGTCTTCAAGTATGAATATGAAAACCCTGAAGACGAAACAAAGGGAACACAACTTCCAGAAAAAGGTGAAATTCGTTCTATCCTAAAATTAGATGAGCAGGAGAAAATTCCCTTAGCTGAAAATAGCTTGGAAAAAAAGAAAAGCATTTCATTCTACCCTGGAACTAAAGTACGTGAAATTCATAGTAGAATTGAGGCCATTATGTGTGGGGAGTTGGATGATCCTGATGATGGTCCAGAGATTTTTGATTCAGGAGATGAAAATGAGGATTGGTCTGAGGATGTAGTTCAAAACACATTACAGAACTCTTACTCAGACTTTCTTGGATTCACTGAAGAAACAGCGAAAAAGCTAAAAAATAGGGAAGAAAATGGATGTTTGGATGATCCAATACAATATTGCTATTCAGATAAAGAGATGGAATATTATAATGATGACCATCAATACGATTCTGAATGTTCCACTGATGATATAATTGAATATAAATCAGATTTGAACTCAAAAAATTTAGAAGAAAATCAAAAATTAAAGCCTGATGTGGAACCTGGCAACTGGAAACATGTTGAACAACAGAGTAATCAGCCACAAGATATGGTTGATGAATACATACCCCAAGCAGAAATGCAGCCCAAAGTATTTGAATCTAATGAAGATCATTATGATAATGTCACTTGTGAATTAAGAGGTGACTTTGAATATGAAAATATTGAGGAAGTACCAAAGAAAATACCACTAACAGAAAAAGATTCAGTTTGCTCTATCTTAAAATTAGATGAGCAAGAAAAAACTACCTCAACTGAAAATAGCTTGCAAAAAAAGAAAAGCGATTCATTCTCCCCTGGAACAAAGGAACATAGTAAAATTGAAGCCATTAATTGTGGTGAGTTGGATGATCCTGATGATGGTCCAGAGTTTGTTGTGTTGGACTCAGAAGAGGATGATGAAAAATTGCCTGTATTCCAAAACATGAGACAGAACTCAGAAAATATTGGAATCAATGTAGATGCAGTTCAAGAGGTGAAGAAAATACCAATTCCAGAAAAAGATGAAGTTTGTTCTATCTTAAAATTAGATGAGCAAGAAAAAACTACCTCAAATGAAAATAGCTTGCAAAAATTGAAAAGTTTTTCATTCTACCCTGGAACAAAGAAACCTGAAATTCGAAGTAAAATTGAAGCCATTAATTGTGGTGAGTTGGACGATCCTGATGATGGTCCAGAGTTTGTTGTGCTGGACTCAGAAGAGGATGATGAAAAATTGTGTAAGGATGTAATTCTCAACACGAGACAAAACTCTGGTTCAGAGAATCTTGGAATAAATGAAGATACAGTTCGTAGAGGCAAAGAAAATACCAATTCCAGAAAGAGATGAAGTTTGTTCCATTTTAAAATTAGATAAGCAAGAAAAAACTACCTCTAGTGAAAATAGCTTGCAAAAAAAGAAAAGCGTTTCATTCTCCCCTGGAACAAAGGAAAGTGAAATTCATAGTAAAATTGAAGACGTTAATTCTGGTGAGTTGGATGATCCTGATGATGGTCCAGACTTTGTTGTGCTGGATAAGCAAGAAAAAACTACCTCAACTGAAAATAGCTTGCAAAAATTGAAAAGTTTTTCATTCTACCCTGGAACAAAGAAACCTGAAATTCATAGTAAAATTGAAGCCATTAATTGTGGTGAGTTGGACGATCCTGATGATGGTCCAGACTTTGTTGTGCTGAACTCAGATGAGGATGATGAAGAATTGCCGGAGGATGTATTTGGCAAAACGAGACAGAACTCTGGTTCAGAAAATCTTGGAATAAATGAAGATACAGTTCAAGAGGTGAAGAAAATACCAATTCCAGAAAGAGATGACGTTTGTTCCATTTTAAAATTAGATAAGCAAGAAAAAACTACCTCTAGTGAAAATAGCTTGCAAAAAAAGAAAAGCGTTTCATTCTCCCCTGGAACAAAGGAAAATGAAATTCATAGTAAAATTGAAGCCATTAATTGTGGTGAGTTGGACGATCCTGATGATGGTCCAGAGTTTGTTGTGCTGGATAAGCAAGAAAAAACTACCTCAAATGAAAATAGCTTGCAAAAATTGAAAAGTTTTTCATTCTTCCCTGGAACAAAGGAACC